GTTGTTTCTGTTTTGATCTACTTTTTGAATGTAATTGCTCATAATTGGACCTTGTACAGTCCAGAGGGTTGTTTCTGCTGCTTTTCCATGCGGAATAAGGTTATGGAATGTTAGTTTTAGTGTGTGTAATTATTCAAAGCCTTATTTAAATTCTATTAAAGAACATACCATTATAAATGTTAATTGCACTAATGAAATCTCTGTCATTACCTCAGTCCCACTGTTTGTGTTTCTTTCATGAATTAGCATCTCTTATTAGGTCTCAGTATTGCAGATTGTTTGAGGCCCCTTGGGTCTCCTGGTTTCAGGTGATTTCTTGATCGTCTTTTGTAAAAGGCTCTTCCTTGTTAGCCCTGCTATGTGTGAGAAGTGAGATTTTTGCATTGGCATATTTCCTTGGATGCATATTGTGTGTTGCAGTGCATATTGCATTAATATGTATTGCATGTTGTTGAAACAGGTTTACCATTAGATAAGGATGTAACGCTAAAGCAGTGGTATGTGCAAAGTGAATCAGCCAGACTTGGAGCAAAGGAGCTACCTTGCTTCTGTAATGCATGTGTTGGGCCTGATCCTTCATGGCAGTTACCATGCCCTTGACTCCTGTGGACTTTCTGACTTACCCTGGGACATACGAGATCTTACTTTGGTCTCATGTTTGCAGAAGCTGTGTTTGTATGTAAACTTGTGGTGCACAACAGTAGCGTGGAAAAACACATATGCTTTCCTTTTATGTGTAGGATAAGATGTATGGTAACAAGGGTTAGTCTGAGCCAAAAATAATTCCAAGAGTTCAAGGATAGAGTGGCTTTTTGTGGCTGGCTGGCCAGTGACTGATATTTAGGCCTTAAATCAGCAATTTGGGCTTTCTGATTATCCCAGAGAAGCTGTTCTGATCCAAACTTGATGCATGTTTTAAAATGTGATTATTAGAGCAGGTTGAAGTACTTTTAAAGTATTTGACAAACAAATGAGGCTCATATCTAGTAAATTCTAACAGATAAAAATTGTGTATGAAAAATGTGTCATTTTTTTAGCCCAGCCTTTCTGGTAAAGAAACCAGGCTGGTGGAGCAACACACCAGCAGCTTTGGAAACTGCATTACTTCATTAGATGGCGGGGAGGTTTTGATATCTGATCTAGTGCCCAAGGCATGTCTTAAAACAAAACTTTGACTCCTCCATCTCTTGGGCATATTTGAAAACTTCACCTTATTGCTGCAGCCAGGATGTTCACATTTACCTGTATTTACTGGTACACACTTGCATGAGCCTGAAGAAGCTCTCAGAAGTTGCTGGCTAGATGGAGCAGATGAGGATTTAACTTTAAAGCACAACTGGCTCGCGATCGTGAGCCCTGGTGCAGCTGCAGTTATGGTCCGGGGAAGGACATGTGTTGACTTCAGTGGAAGCAGAACTGGGTCCTACCAGTGTGGCTATTGCCAAAGATGAGTCTCTGTTTGAACCTGTGTAACCTGCCAGGGGAGGCAGAAGAACCCACTGGGAATCCTCTCCAGAAGTGCTTGGAAAATGCAGATTCATTGAAATGGTCTTTTCCCCCAGTCTCTGGGACTTCTGTCTGTTGGGAAGAGAGTCTGGACGCCAGGATGAAGTTTCCCATCACCAACATGAGAGAGATCTGCTCAGCACAAAGCAGCAGTAGCCTGTCAGGCAGAGTCCTTTCCCAGGAGTCCCAGTGTCCATGCCGGTGCTCTTAAGTTGTGCAGAAACACAGCTCTCAGCCTTCCTCATGCCACTTCAACATCCCGATGACCAGCAGTTTGGCTAGTCCATGTCAGGCTCTGGTGTGTGCTCCTTTTTTTTGGCTTTAATTAAAAAACATTTTGAAAAGTATCCATCTTGTTCTTCCTGCATGATGAGAAAAAATGTGTGTGTGTGTTGGGGTGGGGGGGAGAGGAGGCTTGGCTTTTTACTGGACTGGAAAGCAGTTTCCCAGGTAGGTCTGAAAGAATATTATATCCTGGACTGTCTGTCTTCCAGGAAGGCAGAATCCCAGTTTCCAGAAGGTTTTGAATCTCTGTCTAGTATGTGCTCCTTTCCACATACTATAGCTCAACTTAATGAAGTGAGTTGCCAGCCCGGAGAGGTGATGAGTGCTTTGTATATCAGAGAACATCAAGGGCTCTATTTTCTCCCTCTCCTATTATCCCCTCTTGCCTTTGAGTGTATGCTGGGACAGACTTGTAAAATGCATAGATCTTGTATGTGGGATTTCCAAATAGTGAGTAGGTTTAGATACCAATGACCTGTTATTCTTCACTACCACCTGCGAGTTTCAAGGGGACTGCAATGCTTTTTCTATTGGGAAGTTCTTGAAAGTCCTTCACACAAGCATTTTAGAGCACCCAACCCCATGGAGTTCAAGACTTGGCCAATCTGAAAAACACTGGAGTAAGAGAGGATTTGCTTTAAACTAGCAGCGTAGTCATCTTCCCTACTGACGACAAGACGAGACCAGTCAGTGCTGTGAGCTCATGTCTCAGTATGAGATTCAGTTCTGCATCTAATGCTATGGGATATAAGCAAGATTTATTTTGATTCTGCCAATTAGTGGGGGGCTGGCTGCATGTCTAGAAATGTAGGACGTGTCATTTATGTATCTGCATATTCCTGCCTCCTACACTGCTTAAAGGGAGTAGAGTCCCAGCCAAGACGGCCTGGCCTTGTGGCATCAGAAAGGTGAGGAGGAAGAAAAAGTGCCCTTCAGAGGCTCCACTTCCATGACTCGATGTCACCCTCCTGGGTGTCCTGGCTGTAGTCTTACTATTGGTACAAGCTTTTGCCCTTACTCTTTCCATAGGGCTTGTGGCCAGTAGCACAATGGGAGCAGCAGCTAATTTGATGAGTTCCAGTTGTCACTTCTGGGAGACCCTGAGGAACCCGTCACCTCTTCAGGGGACACCTGAGCTGCTGCAAAACTGACAGAAACACCAGCCAGTGAGAAGCTACTCTCTGTGCTATGTTGGGGAGAGTATTCAAATTAGAGCAGAAGAGAACAACAAATAGCCCAAGACCTTGTGAAAGCCTGCGGTCTCTGCTCGTTCAGGCATGTTATGTGAAGCCTCAGTCACTTCTAGCTGGCTGTGATGAATGTTTACCCACGTTTTCCAATACTCTAGCCTGGACAAATGCTGGTGCTGTAACCATAGAACTACAACTGAGCATCAGAGTCATTCTTTGCAGGAGATTCAGCAAAATACTGGCAGGAGTTTAACCATCCACTGCCCAGAATAGAAGCCAATCCCCAAAAACCATTGAAAGAGCTTTTCTATTGTCCTGTTGTCACTGTGAGAAACAGTTCTAATTTTGATCGAAATTCTTGGACTTACCCTGATTGCCTTGTTCCAGTGGCTTTGGCAGTGCTGATGGTTCTGGGCTTGACAGGAATATCTGAGCTCTATGCCCTTCCAATTCTTGGCCTCCTTATGGAGGGTGATAGTTCACTGTGAGACAGGCTTGGGTCTGCTACAAATTGACAGGTCAGTGACTGAAACAAGCACTGAACAACAGCGGTCACTCTTGATGTGAGATGTGCCTTCAGCTCAACTTCTGTTGGCCAGTGTTGTGATCTCCAGACTCTCTCTGCGGGCACTCAGCTCTGGAACAAGTATAGCGTGGCTGGCTTCATGTGAGATGCTGTCCGGGTGCCAAGCATCCATCAGTAGCTAGCGGCCTCCAATCAGTTGGTTAAATTTTCTGGGAAATCTGGGGATGCAGGGAAAAATTACTACTTAAAAGACTTAAAAGGCCAGAGATTCCTAAAGGTTGCATTGCTCTGCTCTTCAGAGGCTGTGACTGGTGCTTAGATCCTGTTCCACTCAGCTGCAGCCTCTAAAAACATTTCTGTAAAGAGGGTTTATTTGAGTGTTTGCTGTGTGAAAACAGATCGCAGCTGGGTAATCAGACCAAAAGTGTCCAGGAGGTGGTGGCTGGGGCTGGAGGGTCACAGGACAGGGCACAAATCCCACTGAAGTCCATTGGGACTTGAAAATGTGCTTGAAACGAAGTATGTGCGCTTTGCTGGATCAAGCTGATTATGATCAGACCAAAAGTAAGCAGATGTCTGTCATATTTTATTAACCCTGCATAATGCAAGCAACCATGCATAATGCAAGTGAATGTGGCAGAGGGAAAGGGGAAGATAAGCTTTGCTAATGATTATTTATCTTTTTTTTTTTTTTTTTAAGGTATGCATAGTTGGTGCCTAGAATGGCTTAAAAACATCCATCTGTACCTTTTTGCAGGTTCAGTGCTGGGTACGTTTTGCCACTCTGTTTTGTATTAAAGCAAGTATGTTTGAAAGGTCACTGGGCAGCTGAGTGCAATAATGTTCAGATTCTTCTGCCATTGCTCAGTGATTAGAAATATTCAGCATGCAGATAGCTTGTTCAACTTCAGCAAGTACATCATCTCCCTCCTGCCAGCCTTGCTTGGGGTGAGCTAATGGACTTTTAACGTTATACAGCTTAGACAGTGACTGTGTCTAATAGCTCCTGATTAAGCTCTCCAGAAAGGCAAATAACCATCATGGGGCAAAGGCTAAACAAGAGGAGGGGAGCAAAAAAGCACAGATATTAAAAAGTTGCTGGCCCTGTTTTTTATTTAGGGAAATTCGGTATTATATTTAGCATATTTTGGCTTTTGAGAACTGTCTATCAAATAGAACCCAATTTATTTCCTCTGAATGCTTTTAGAATAGTGATAAAATAGCCCTCCATCCCTTCTCCTCCCTCTTTGCCCATTTATAATCTATTATTTTAGGGCTGCTCTGAGAAACCATTGTGTTTTCCTATTATCTTTGTCCCTGGCTCAGCACTGTGCTTCCACGCTGAATGTAGGCTTTTGGGGGTTATTTTTATCTTACTGACCTTCTGTGGTAAAGGAACATGCTCTCATTCAGTCTCCGGACAGCCTGATTTGCCAAGCAGAGAGATGTGGGTGCATAT